ACTAACAAACGTCCACACAGGATAGTTGCATTATAAACCACAGGTTGGTTCTGTTGTTGATGCAGAAAGAGACATGTGCTTGAGCGGGTATCTGCAACAGGGATTAGCTAGCTGGACTGACAGATGCGCATACCCTGAAATGTGTAGGTTTATTTTACTTACACTGAATTCTTTGAGTGAATGTTCTCTTGATTTCTATAGTTACAAATCTTCGACTGTTCTGCTATTCGGCCTTCTTCAGGAGACAGTTGGAGAAAACAATAGTGGAAAGGTTGCGACTAGGACAACCAAGATAAGTATCTTTTTTCTATGATTATGAACAGAGAATATGTTTGTCGGGTTGCAATTAAAGAAACTTGGCTTACGGCCATATCGCATTGAAACACCAGTTCCCGTATGATAACCGAAGTTAAGCAACGTCAAACCTGGTCAGTACCTAGATGGATGACAGCAATGGGATACCAGATTCTGTAAGCTTTGATGTGTGGGTGGTGTAATGTATAATGGCTCCAAATTGGAAGTCGGAGAGCTGAGTTCCAATTCCAGTTGGGTTCGTTATATTCACTTACGCGAGAATATCCTTGGGAAAGGCATGAATCCACCTCTTCTCCTCCCAGCTATGGGTTAATTAATAATACTTGTATTGCTAATACCTGCAAAGGGTTGATAAACCGTAGAAAACGAATCATTTAAAAAAAATTATTATTATTCAAGTATTGTCTTTGAAGAACTCTAAAGCTCGCTTTCCCTTACAAATATTAAAATTGATATCAATGGACGCGTGTTAAAATCCTTACAATATTTAGTCTTGTTGAAGTTTTATCGCTAACATTTTTGTCGAGATTTACAAACTTTACGTTTCGTTCAATTCCGCAAACTAGTCGATGACATTTGAATAAACTGATTTGTTTGGAAAGATATTTTGACAAAAATCCTACTTAATAATTTCTTTAATTTAATTTAATTTTATAAGACTTCATGGTAAACAATAATTTTTAAGAAAATTTACCTTTTTCCTTTTTAACAGCGAAGAATGAATTTTTAGGTTTCTTACTCTTGAGCATGCAACATACAATTGGCCATGCGGAAATATTTTTCTGTAGCCAAATTCCAACTTTTTGAAGAGTTTGGCCTTGTGATTTGTTTATAGTTTTCGCGAACGATGGGCGAACTGAAAATTGGGTTCTTGTATAGATAATAACTTAAAGAAAATATATGCAAAAAGCAATATTTGATTTTTATTGAATAAGTATTAGTTATTTTAAACATTGAATTGTTTTTAAAATAGTGGAAGTATTTTGTATGTTAAATGATAAAACTTATTTTTTTAAAAACTAATGAAAATTTATTGTACTAAGCTATGCACTTTAGTAAAACCAACTGTACTTTCTACTCCCTTATCTGTTTGCACTTCTCCCCTTGGTTTCAATCGCTCAATGTATGGCTATCTTAGAGGGTGTGACGGACGGACGGACGGAAGTCACAGAATTTTATACATAGAGAATGCGTGACTGGACATTTGGCAGAAGGACATTTCACCAAAAAAGTACAAGAAAAAATAGTAACAAGCAATACTTTAAGTATTTTAATTAGCAGTATTATAAGATAGTATAGGACTAATAATTACCAATGAATTTCAAGTGATTAAATTACTAAATCTAAATTTAAAGTTAAAAGTTTTCTTATTTCAATATTTGTTTATTGAAATTAGAATTTTTAAAATTTTGAGTGTATTTGGGTAAAAAGTAGCACCTAATTATTTAAATTCGTATTTAACAGTAAGATAAAATTTAATTAATCCCTTTAAGATAATGATCATTAAAAGCGAAATTGAAAGATCTTTCATAACGTAAAAGCTTAAGATTTATGTTGCAGGAAAATGTGCTTTTACTCAAAATACTTATCATCTTACTTGAAGTAAAATATAATATATACAGAATAGATTTTAAACAAATCCTGTCAAAAAAAAATGAAAATTTATAAATTAATATAATAAATAAATATAAATATAATTATATAAATGTATAATATTTAATATAATATATAAATACATTACGATAAAATATATATAAATATATTTAATATAATATATAAATACATTACGATAAAAGGTGTGACATACTTGTAAGTACGCCACTACATTTTCGGCTAAATGTCCATTCGGTTAAATGGTCTTCAGCGAAATGTCTATCGGCGAAATGTCCGTCGGCGAAATGTCAGTTCGGCGAAATGTCCGTTCGGCGAAATGTCTGTCGGCGAAATGTCAGTTCGGCGAAATGTCTGTCGGCGAAATGTCAGTTCGGCGAAATGTCTGTCGGCGAGATGTCCGTCGGCGAAATGTCAGTTCAGCGAAATGTCTGTCGGCGAATATGTCCGTCGGCGAAATGTCAGTTCGGCGAAATGTCTGTCGGCGAATATGTCCGTCGGCGAAATGTCAGTTCGGCGAAATGTCTGCCGGCGAAATGTCCGTCGGCGAAATGTCTGTCGTTCAAATGTCCAGGTACCAGAAAATGCGAAAAAGCAAACTTATATTGGATGGGATCAAATAGGTAACATCAATGAGAATCCAGCATTAATCGATTCCAATAAAATCAAGCCATATTGTTTTATATCTCCTGCTTAAAGGAAGATATAAACTTCCCGTTGCTTTTGCATGCTATGAAGTGTAGTATGCTTTCTGAAATGCATGCCAAATTTGAATTTGAGGATTCTTCAAAACTTGGTTGGTTAAGGTTGAATTTAAAATTCATGCTTTCTCCTCAAAAAGCAGTCAATTTTAGTCCCTGCTAAAAATTGAAACGTTTTACCCTTTCTCTCAAACTTCCCATACTTAAAATTTTCTGGCTTTAAATAACCTGCAATCGGTTGATAAACCGTACAAAACGAATCAACGAACCCCAAAACTTGTTTTTAATTTATTAAGCTTGAATAGAACCTCTGCTGAAATTTGATCTCGATTTGTAGAGTTCGTTGCGCTAATATTTCAGAACCACACACCGCATGAAATTTATAGTATGCCATCGATTATCCGTAATATGATTATCGGGAGGTGAAATGAAGAGAAAATTTTTAGATTATCCAAATTTTTTCAATTATGCGAATTAAACTCATTTTAATATTTCCTCTCAGGCAAGTGCCATGAGAATTTTCAAAGACATTCTCAACATTTCATAAAAATGCTGACAAAATCAGTTCAATTAATTCTTGATAATGTCATCGTTGTTTTCATACAAAGAACATACACGAGAATTATCACACTGACCAGGGGATTACACACACACACACACACACACACAAACACACACACACACACACACACACACACATATATATATATATATATATATATATATATATATATATATATATATATATATTTTTTTTTTTTTAAGCATTACGCCCTGAGCAAGGCGTGAAGCCACTAGGATGCAGGGGGTTGCGGAAGATTTGGAGCGAGAGTAGATAGGGAGGATAGAAGAAAGGATGAGGAGAGGAATAGTGTATAGAGCAAGGTAACTGGAGATGTCGATTGACATTACATTTGAATAGTTGGTGATTATAGCTCTCAGGGAAACAGTAATTGGGAAGGGTGTTCCACAGGTGAGAGGTGCGAGGTATGAAGCTATTGGAGTAGAAGAGACGGCTACATTTAAAAGTTTCTACAGTGTAAGGGTGGAAGCGGGATGCCAGCCTCGTCGGGCGCTTGAATTCATGGAGTCTGGGAACCAGTGAAAGCAGCTCATCAGAGCAATTACCATGAAAGTATTTGTAGAAAAGACAGAGAGAGGAGACGGCGCGTCTGTGAGAGTATATATATATGCCAAATCTAAATTTGCCGACACTTCATCATTTGGTTCGTTAATGTTGAATTTAAATGTCTTGCTTTCTCGGCAAAAAAAAAACAGTTATTTGAAGTCCCTACCAAAAGCGGAAGTGTTCTTTTTTTTTTTTTTTTTTAACTTTCTCTTGAGCTTCCCACAATTCTAAAGCCCCCGACAAAACAATACGCAAGAAAACATCACGTGCAAAAACAAGCATCGCGTCTATCAAATCATCAATTTAAACAAGGGTCAAACTTGTCTGGCATTCAGTATGTTACATGAAACTTTTTCGTTTTTAGATGTAGGGGCTGCGTGGAGTGTGGGTCACTTTTATTTAGTGAGCATAAGGAAATATATTAATATGTCTGTTACTTAAAATGACGAGAACCACTGTTAACCCGGGTGACCCGACTTTCACGCGCAAAGTAACTTCGTCCAATTATCGCAGAACTGCAGTCACAGGTCACCTCACCAAGGGCTTGAGGTTAGTATACTAGTCTCACATGCTATTACATTCTTTTTTTTAAATCAATTCACCCCAGGCAAGGCGATAATACCACTAAGACGCAAGGAGCCACTGAGGTGTGAAAGAGAAAGAAAATACTTTAGAATGAACCGGAAAACCAATCCTGGACAAGTAACAAGGGATAAACCTCTACTCCTGTTCAAAAGACCAGAGAGGAGTTTCTGGGGTAATTTGAACAAGCACAAAATGCCCTAAATTTGACCAAACTAAGCTAAGCTTAGTAAGCGTTCGTAGTAAGTGCAGTAGCTATTAAGTGTTTTATATTTGTTCTGTACTAAATCAGGGGTCTCCAAACATTTTAGATCATCGACCCCTTTCATGGAATCCTTCATCCCACATTGATACCCAACACTAGACATGCAGAAAAAGATACAGTACACCATCGATTATCCGTCCCTCTATTTTCCCGACTTCGATTATCCGGACGTGAAGGGAAGAGAGAAATTGAAATCCGAACTAAACCTATTCTAATAGTTGATCTCAAACGAGCGTTTGGAGTATTTAGAAAACCTTACATCGTGTTTGATTTAAGAAAAAAAAAAAACTCTGATATATTCGTTCAATTAATCCTTGTTAATTTGCTCATTGTTTTCATACAAAGAACATACACTGGAATTATCACAGCACGGTCATGCCAGTAAATGAAACTTGGTTTACGGCCATATCACATTGGAACATCGGTTCCCGTACGATCATCTAAATTAAGCAATGGTGATCCTGGTCAGTACCTAGATGGGTGACCGTTTGAGAATATCAGAGACTGCAATCTTGGATGTGCGACTGGTGTAATGGAATTGTTAATCGGAGTGCCGAGTTCCAATTCGAGTTGGGTAAATTATATTCACTTACACCGAAAGACTCATAGGAAATTTATGAATCCACCTCTTCTCACCTCAGCTATGGGTTAATTAGTAAGATTTATATAATTAGAATAGTATTACCTAAGAAAAATTCATACAATCTAAAAATATTTTCTGGCTTTAAATAACCTGCAAAGGGCCGATAAGCCATAAAAACGAATAAACGAGCAAAAAAAAAACTTACTTAACCTTTATACCATCTTAAATTTGAACAGGATTTGTAGAGTCGTTGCGCTAAAATTCCGGAACCACACACCACATGAGACTTACAGTACGTCATCAATTATCCGTAATTCGATAATCCGGAATTTGATTATCCGGAATTCGATTATCTGGAATTCAATTATCCGGATGTTAAATGAAGAGAAAAATTTTAAATCATCTTTTGTATCTATTCTTTTGTCCCAACAAAATCCATTCTAATATTTAATCTCAGACAAGCGTTTTGAGAATTTAGAAAATGTTTGATAAAAACGCTCATAAAATCAGTTCAGTTATTAATTTTTCCTGTGTTTGCATACAAAGAACATAAAATTGTATTATTACACGTTGGTCTACGGCAAATTCAAAACAACTAATCAAACGCCAGACGAACATCCGTGGCTATATCGATACAGCTCCAAACCTAAAACAGTGACCCCTGGAGACGTCGGTTGTCTGGTCGACTGATGTGTAGCATATCATGTCCAGTTAACGCCAGCAAAAAGACAAACAAACGTTCGGATTTTAACTTCGAATAATAATAATAAAGTACCGATTATCCGCACCTCAATTTTCCGGAACTCGATTATCCGGACATGAAATGAAGAGAAAAATGTTAAATCATCCGAATCTTTTTCAATTACCCGAATTCATTCCAAAATTTCATCTCAGACAAAGCCATTCCCAAGGTTTGATAAAAACGCTGGCAAAATCAGTTCAATTAATTCTTCATGATCTCCGCGTTGTTTTCATACAAAGGACACACACTGGAATTATCGCAGTGACCTGGGGATTGCAGAACTTATAAGCGTGCCAGAAAATGATGATGATGATGATGATGATAGTCATGCTCATGTTAATGTTAAACCGCCTCAATGCTCAATTACAAACACCGATGCAATGTTTATATTTGACAAATGTGTCCGGTTAACCCCTCCTAATTTTCGAAACTGCTCCTCGGGGACGCTCTCAGGACTATAAAGACTCTGCGATAATTTTTCGTATCTTCTTCTTTTCTTATCCATTTATTCGTCAACATGTAAATCTCTCGCGGAGAACGCGCTGGGAAACGCATGGACAAGCCACGCGCACAGACACGTACGTACGCACATTCACATTCACTCACTACACTTACTTTGGGCAGTTTTTTGATACACACAACATTGTCTTTGTCACATTATCATTTGTTTGTATATATATAATAGTTCTTGTTGTTTCTTTTCATTTCTTTACGTGGACTCACATCCCGAATCCGCAATTTTGTTGTGGGTATTTCAGGTGACAGCGTGTTATTCCCAATTTCAAATCCAACGTTACTGACGCCCGCAACAAGTTGGGTAACGTATAACCGGCCTACAACAAATATTTTAGTTTGTTTGCGCTTTCAATCAGAAGCTTTCCTTACAAATCCATATCCTTAAATCTAGCGTCGTGAGTTAGCGACTGAAAAAAAGCGAGGCCAGCTGGAAACAGACAAAAACATTAACACATATTCTTCATCCAAAACAAATTGGACAAAACCTTAAAGGAAATGTGTAAAAATGTTGGGTTTTTTATTTCATGATATAAATGTTAAATCTCTTTCAGAAAACGTCTTTTTTCTTCGTTCTTCTTCGAGAATTTAGGGATTCAATTATCCAAGCATAGTTTTCCAACATTTTTTCCAAGTTATCCTGATATTCAAGGAAGTACTGTATCAATAATAATAATTTTTAATTTAAGTGTAGAACTTTTGCCTTTTCCTCCATTATTGTTTGATTGATTTATGTTTTGCTATTTCATATTTTATCAAGACGTATTTGTTGCAATAGTAATAATAATAATAATAATGGTACATACAAATACTTAGGAATTAACGAAGGAGACAGAATACAACATTTAATTATGAAGAAAAAAAATCCGAAAACAATATTATAGGAGAATACGTTTGATACTAGAAAGCGAACTTAATGGGGGGGGGTAATAAAATGAAGGCTATCAACACTTTAGCTATACCCGTTGTAACATACAGCTTCAACATTATTAAATGGAAGTTGAATGACATTAAAAGATTTGACACCAACACCAGAAAAATGTTTACCCAAATAAGCATACACCACCCAAAATCAGATGTTGATAGACTATAAGTACCAAGAGCTTTATAAGGCTGAGTTCTAATCCAATTTGATCTAACACTAAAACCTACAACAATCGGACTGGAAGCATACCTCACAAAAACCAATGACCTTCTTTTACAAATAATAAAATACCAAATCCACTCAATCAACAAAGAAACTGAACTCTTCATGAAACAAACTAATAAACCTAAAATCCTACCAACATAAAACGAAGCGAACAGAATCTACGCCAAACGAATAAAACAGAAAGCAAAAACAACTTGGCCAAATCAAGTAATAAAAAACTTGGAGGAAAAGGCGTTGCATGGCAAATACCTAAAAATAACGAAAGAAGCAGATGTAAACTAACAGAAAACTCATCAGTGGCTGAGAAACACCGGATTGTGAGTTGAGACAGAAGGCCTAATTATTGAAGCTCAGGGCCAAAACCTCGCAACCAGATCCGATCACTGTCACATAATCATGGATGGAACTAACCCAAAATGCAGGATCTGCGGAAAATATGATGAAACCGTCGACTATATTATGTCAGGATGTCCAGAACCGGCAAAAAAGCAATATACCCCCAGACATAACAAGATAGCGACATATGTGCATTGGAAGATATGCAAGAATCACAAAATCGAAACCCTTGAGAGATGGGATTGGTACTAACCAGACACAGTTACCCAAAATAACGATGTAACTATCCCCTGGGACATGCCAATTCAAATTAACAGGGAAATAAAAGCCAACAGACCTGATATTATCATAAAAGGCAACAAATTCAGGAAGTGTATACTTATTGACATAGCAGTACCATCTGAGAGAAACAACTCCATGAAAATTATCGAGAAATTGTCCAAATATAAGGACTTGGAGATCGAGATTAACAGGATGTAGGGAATGAAGACTGAGAGTGTATCGATAGTAATCGGAGCTCTGGGCCTCGTGAGAAAAGGAAAGGACAATTCTACTAACAGTGTCCCAGGTAACATCAACAGACAAGTTGCCCAATGGCAATTCTCCTATAGGACGTTAAGGACTATAGCTTGAACCCGGCTCTACATGATACAAAGCAGGAAACAAAACATACACAAGTAGTTGGTTGGAAAAGATTCCAATGGACTAATTGAAGGGATTCCTGGAAGTCCATGCCTCAAAGAAATACAAAAAAATTTTCTCACAAGTACAGCCCACACTTTACGAATGGCTTTATCTATGTAAAATATATATTTTTTTTTTTTAGTGGAAAATGTCATGATGCCATTTCTAACCTTAGGTCTCTGGGCGGGACCCGGAAAAATGTGTACACGCCAGAAATCAAAGGAAATAAAAACAATAATAATAATAAATACAGTCTTCATTTGTCCGAATCCATCATTAGCGCTTGTGGAATTCTTGTGTAGAAATAATAGAATCGTCGCCATCGTAAAGTGGTCAACCCTCTGCATTGGTGCATCTGTAGAAAGTATGAATTTGAAGATCAACTGGAATTGGTATCACCACAAGTCAGAGAAAGCAGTCGAAAACAACCAAGTAAAGATCTTAATATTTATTTGCAATAAAATGTGCCACAAGGGCTAAAAAGTGGGGATGGGGAAAAGACTGGTCTTCTCAAGTCCTATCTCAAAACTAACTAGTCTCACTTATTGACCCATTCGTACTTACAATTTTACTATCACCATAACAACACATTTACTCTTAGCTGTCACACCACAGTCACCAAAATACCTCATTTTCTCTATGAAAAGCTCTAGCATGAATCTTTATTTACACAATTATCGAGGTAAAGTTCTTGTGCGTTTTTTTACATTCAAGCAGACCACGACTTTGAGGTTACGAAACCATACGTCACCTTCGTTGACAAAGAAACAAGAAAATGCCGCCTCATCGACGTGGCCGCTCCTGTTGACCGTAATAATCAAGGTCAAAAAATTGACAACCTCAATAAATGCACCGACCTCTGGATTGAGGTTGTTAGAATGTGGGACGTTCAGATCACTATGGCCCAAGTCATCATTGGGGTCGTTATACGACCGATCTTCTTTTTTTTTTTTTTTTTCTTACACTCACTGAATCCTAAAAACGTCTCTGTGTCTTTTCGGTCTTCACTTGCGATCAAAACGGAATAGTCCATTATTTATTAAGTAATGAAAAGGGCGTAACCCACTTGCTAACTAACTAGGGGAATGCGGAACACTACAACTACTACTACTACTACTACTACTACTACAACAACAACAACAACAACAAGAAAGATCTCATGATATTAGTCCCGTTTCAATTATATTCAAATCGGCTGCGTTTTATTTATCTTGTCGAGTGAATTACTAGTGCAACTGTCATTTGTATATAGACTTGTGTTATTTAGTCTATAAAACAGTAAAAAAAAGTATCCATTGAAAAAATACACATATTTTTAAGTAGGATAGATATTTAAACAAATGTTAATTTTATGAGAGGAAAAGACAATAAAATATACAATAAAATATACAATTAGGAATTTTTAAAATTTAACATCTGACTTTTAACATCTGATTGTGTCACTCTCCCCCCCCACACACACACACACATACACACACTTTTACCATCTGATTTAGCGCCATC